TAGATCAACTAATCTACAGTGTCCATGAACTGTTTGTAGTGGTTCTGTACTAGAACTTGTAGGTGCGTTCACTATTTGTTCAACACCATGAACTGTTTGTAGCGGTTCTGTACATAGAACTTGTAGGTGCATTCACTATTCGTTCAACAAAACCAGTGTGGTGGGGATTAGAATCCTATCTAAACATAGGTATTCTCACTTGCTTTTTGCTGATGTGCTATGCCACAATCTTGCTTTCATCTGCCAAATTGTAGAATCAGGTTGTGGGCAAAATTGAAGAGCACTTTGATATCTTCATTTGTGTATAGTTGCACTTTCAACCCAAGAAATCTAGAGGCCCATTGGTATGGTGTTTATGAGGTCTCATTTCCCAACCAGTAATCTGACATAGCCCTCAAACCGACACGGATGGGAACAGTTCCTTTGGAAAGCGCGGGTCCTTCGTTGCGTCGGGAGACGATCTAGACACCTCGTTGGAATCCATCACTCGAACTATTCAAGTCGCCAAGCCTCCTACAGTTGTTCCCAATTTTGCTATATATTATTTGTACGCAAGGGTGCGCAAGGCAGCTGAAGGTCAGCTTACTTTCGATTTTAAGCATTTCCGGACAAAACACGTTGGTGTCCCCCTCATATTCGAGATCAAAAGACACTGCACTCGCTCGCCTACTACCAAACTGATTCCTGCCGATGAGGATCAAGATTTAATTGCCGTGCGTGTTCGAGCAGCCCAAAGGCAGCTCATCCTGCGATGCGCGGTTTCTCTTTCGGATGTACAAAAAGCAACGTCGAGTCATTGCATGTGGTGGTAGTGGTCCCTGGTGGTGTTATGGAATCATATCACATGATAATATCGCCATCACACGAGAAGTCTCGCTCTCACCATTTAGAAGTTGATACTGATGATGAAGATGAGCAAGATGAAGATGACCCCATGGATCAGGACTACATTGATGATGGAGACGACATAGATGATAGCGACGAACGCTCTATCGACTGGGGCGGAGACTGGGACAATGCAGATAGTGACTGGGATAATGAAAGAGATAAAACTGAGGCTGGCGCTTAGGCCGAAATGCGTATAGGATCAAAATCTGAGAGTACAGCGGTTTGCTCTGTACTGAATCCATCGGACAAATTCTCATATATGTTCATGGCACAGGAAATGGAAGACGTCGACAGCATCGAATGGTCCGGGATTTATCGTCTAGAGAGCAGAGGATCAGACATCGCATGGGCGAAGCTCCATGATATCCTCGAGCAAATCCATGCACAACGTTCGACTCTAGAGTAGTGGCGCTAAGGTGATTGATAGCCAGGGTTGAGAAGACAGTGTAACACGACTCATGACATGTGCGCAGGCTCCTCCAGAACACTAAAGGCACTCGGTGCACGATGCACAGGAGGATGCAATGATCCTGAGTTAGACATGGTTGAGGGTAGTGGTGGGTGCAGGCTATGAAGCAGCTGATCGCGGAGACGACGGCATGAACGGATGACACAGGCAAGGTCGTCGCGAGTATATGCGTTCGACGGGACATTTGGGTTGGGCGGGAGAAAGCGAAAGATTTTGATACGGGACATGCATGTAATTCTGAGATGTGTGGTGAATTGGTATAAGATATATAAACCTATGATAGACCTACTGTGGCATAAATTGAAGGTATTCGATTTGGTATACCTGATAGGCGTACATACTATCGACTTATGTGCTGACTTTCTGCTGATGACGGACGACATCTATGCCCAATCCCCATTCCCACACGGACCAGTGTCTCTAAGCAAGCTCGGCTGTTGACCAGAAGATCTTCGTCCCATTCCACTACGCCCTTTTCGAAAAGGATGACAAGAGTTGACCCACCTGTGTTTTCGAGATCAGCGCGCATAACGGTGAAATTTGGCTAAAAACACACCAAATGCGAAATATCCAAGCTCCTGACCCCGTCTGACTTGATTTCCTTCTCTCACTGTAGTCTTGATACTACCGACCATCATAGCTCCGATACATACAGTCATCACGCGACCAAACTGAGGACTGTCAATCGGAACAATCTTCCGCGCATTTTCACCGTAGACATCCAGTGCCGTACGTATCGCTTGTGGCTGCCAACGAAAATATAAACAGGTCCTCATATGAGAAGGTGCACCAAGCTTACATTCACGGTATAGTATTCGCCAGAGATGTAAGTCATAGGACCAATAGTCCCATCCACAGGCGAATGGAAACGATGATAGTCTTGTGGTGCAAGTCGGAATATGCACAAAGCTCCGCCCGCATAACGATCGGCTTCGGCATGATAATGGTCACCGAGCAAACGCGCCACGGTGAACTCGCGTCCTTTGATCCACAATCGTGTCGCCTCATTTACGGTCTCAAAAACCATGAGTCTGCAATCGGCTCCGCTGACCAGCCGGCATGGATCGTCTGGATTCTCAGTGGGTCGGGCATTTGGCTTTAGTTTCCTATTGAGAAACATCAGATATATCGCTGCAGGCGGCCTACGAAGACATACCTGTAAAAGAACTCGTTGAAGGTTTCTAAATGACGCAAGTCAGATACGGACGGGTGATGTAGGTCAAGCGCTCACTGAAACTTGAGATCGGCTCTAAAATTTCATCCACATTCAAGTTGTGGAAGGCCACGAATGCGGGAATCTCGCGAGCTGATTGAGGCGAGTCGTACTTTATACCCTGCTTGATGGACATGGACTTGAGCAATCGTCGCGCTGAGCAATGAAGATGATTATACGCATTTCTTTACACAAATAATGACACTGACCTCGCATTCCCTCCATTCTGCTCTTCCAGCCCTAGAAATAATTGAGACAAGTGCGCATGAAATAAATTACAAACTCTACCTTGTAGAGTAATCTGATCCCCAACCGAACGTATACCTGCATTTTTTCTTCCTCCAGCTGGCCTGTCAGCCTATTCTGAACGATGATATTCGCTGAATTCTGACGAGCAGTCACGTTTTCAGTACGGACCCAGCCATAAGCATGCAGCAACTCACCGCCCCAAGCTTGTAATTCCCACTAGAGACTTTCGTGATTACCTTGGTGTACCACTTGCGCTGCGCTTGACTTGCAGTCACGAAGTTGCCGACCACGATCCGGTCTACAGCTGACCAGTCTTGGCTCGCACATGTTGAGATGTGCGTGACAATGTCCACCTCCGCTTTCGAGTTAAGCCGTGGCCGGTGGCACAGAGGACAGACTTTGATGTTGATTACCCGTTCGAATAGGTCATCGCCGGTCTTCGAGCCACTCCGCGAGCCGCTTGAGCCAGAGGAGTCTTCCGGATCCGAGAGCGAACCAGTCAGCTGTCGCGTAGATGATGGAGTGAGAGATGGGCGCGAATAAGAAGTAGATGGATGGACGTCGTGTGCGAGTGGTCGTTGCATAGGTTCCGTCATGTGTGGAGAAGGAGGGTCGGCTTTACGGAGCAGGTCGGAGTCAGATGCCTCACCGAACAACGACAAATTAAGGGGGGGACCGGCAAAGTCCAGCTTGTCTAGATTCAGGCTAAGCTGGTGTTCAAAGCCGTTACCATTAACGGCGGCGGGTGTAACAGGTGTGCTAGTGTCAAGTCCATTCTCTTCGAAATCGAGGAGTTTTTTCTCACTCCTCGGCCTGCACAGTTCCGTCTCGAGACACTGGATCGCCTCGTCGATCGACAGCACGTCTTCCCGAGGTCGTTTATCAAAACGCGTGAAGAACGAATTGACAGTGTCGCGAGAGAGCGTCGAGCCTAAAGAGTCTAGCATCGAGGTCAACTCAACGTGTGAAAGTGTGCGAGTATCATCTGTATCATACTGCTTAAGATACTGCCGCCAAAATCGTTGTCGAAGAGCATCGTATGGCTGATATTTAGCCCTACGCAAAATTCTTCAGTAAATACGTTGCAACAAGAAAATACTGGAATTTCACCGAATACTAAGCACAGGCTTATATTTAGCCTCCCAGGGTGTCTCCTTTCCCGTCGTGAGCGGCAGTTTGAATTCCTTCATAGCATGGGACCCGTCGACGTCGTCCTGATAAAGGCCAGTTACCTCATCCTTTTGAGGAGCATTATCGAGTAGCTCGGAAACATCGAAACTCGTGTCGCCCACGTGGTCGTTTGATGAGAGCTTGTCCCAGTCGAGGACTGTCAGCTGCACCTTGAACGCCGTTTCGTATCTACGAACGTGAAATAGCATCTTCTCATCCCACGTTGGATTAAGTGAATGCCGGATGACACGCGTGCGGAACACCTTCTTTCCAAACGAGATGACGACAAACGGATCCATATCCCACCCAGTGCGTGTCACTAACAGTGTCTTCATGAGATCGGCAAAGAAATATCGCAGGAGGTAAATACTCACTATTTTTCAGCCTCGGGAGGTCAATGGCACTCTGGATCTCCAGCATCACAATGCCCAAGATATCGTTTGCGGCAGAAAAATTGAAATCTTTCGATTTACCACCAGCCCACGACTTTCGAAATCGCGCCTTTGAAACTACAGACGCCTTTGCAGGGGTGCATGTACCAGAAGTAGAAGGAGACAGGCCCGGTGAGCTGGATGAGGATGCCAAACTAGAACTGGAAGGCAATTCAGCATGTGGAATAGAACCAGAATGTGACCGTCTCGGGAAAATCTTTGGGATATTCTTGAACGAAGGTGATGGGGGTTTGGGCGCAGTGGGTGTCTTAAGGGTTACAGTCGGAATTGGTGTGGTTGTCGTAGGTGTCTCCATTGAAGGTGAAGGATGAGGCTGCGCTATAGGCAAATCGGCCTGCAGTGGAGGGATATAAATTGGAGGAAGGCCTGCTGGTTCCTCCTCATCTTCCTCGCTCTCCTCGCCCTCGTCGGATGTCAGACCGTCATCCTGATACTCAGGACCCGTGACATGCGAGCGGATAGTGCCAATTCCTTCCGTCTGCGAAACGAAACTCAGCTATATGCGCTAAAACGAGCGAGATTAGATGACTTACCGGAGGCGCAGAGACGAGACTGGGGCGCGAGCGCTTGACGAGTTCCGTGAAGAGGTCGTCATAGTTCACTATGGAGGCATGGCCGCTCGATGATACAAAACCCAGTTTGATTTGAATCGAACCGGTCGCATTTGTTGATGTTCGGGTTGACACTACTGGCGAATCGATGGGCTGCAGAGCCGAGGGTGTGAGGGAGTAGAGTGGCACATAGGTAGAAACGCACCTTATTATCCGGCTGGTCAAATCCAAACCCATTTCCGTCCCTAAACCAGTCCTCGAGAGGTATATTCGCTTCTCCAAGGTACTCCTTCCTGAGCATATCTTTACTCCATATGACAAACTCGATGACACCCAGTCGGTCAGCGAGAGACAGGTATATGGGAAAGTCAAACGTCGCATCTTTCGGCGCATACACAGGGCTCGAGCACTTCTTGACGACGGGGGTTTGATGTCTGTCCCTGAGCAGCGAGACGACAACGAACCTGCACATAAAATGAATGAGCGGCGACGAGTCACTAGACGGTACCCCTCGACAACGCACGGGTCACTAAGGCCATTCCTGTCTTTTGCAGAGAGGTTCTTGCATCCAAGGACTTGCACGCGGAGCAGGACGACGGGTACCTCACCGGGCAGGGGCGAGAAGGTACTCCTGCCGCTGCCCCTGCCACCCGAGACGCGTGAGGGCAGACGAGCAGCAGTCTTGAGGGCACGACCGAGCTTGAGAGTCCTCTTCGGCACAGGGACCATGGCGGGGAGTGTAGTCGTCGGGTCCGAGCTGAACGAGAGGCTATGAGAGAGGAGGGAAGACTACTTGTACTGCCTCAGACGCGAACCACATACATCCAGCGCGGGCTGCTATATCTGGCCGATTACGCCGGGATCGAATGCGCAGCCTGGCAGCTCGCGCGCTCCGGGTCCTTGCATGTTTGTTTGTCTTCGGCCCAGCGTATTGCAGTTGCATTGTTGCCTAATAGTCTGTTGAACAAACACATGCATCGCAGCCAAATCACACGAGGGTAAAATGAAATAAAGATCTGGTAATTGTAACAGCGGGTATGTGATCGTCAATGCGTGTATACAACAACACAACAATCATGCCAACAGATGTGCGCCGATCCGGCATACAAAAGCGTACAGCACGAATGCAACAAGTCCTCGCTCTTATGATAATCAAACACCTTTCGACACAGTCCCACTAGTCTGAACAAAATTCCATCTCTCAACGTATTTCCTGAGGATGGAAACATCTACATAGAAAGCAGAAAATAATCCCGCACTTATGCCATGCAGAGAACGGTGAACGCGACACCGGCGATAATTGCAATGAGCGAAATGTGGGTAGCGCTGGGAGCGCCGCTTGCGCTCGACCCACTGGTGGGAGAAGGAGAGCCTGTTCCACTGCTGCGGGTTGCGCCTGTCGAGCCACCAGAGGTTGGGGCAGGGGTGGATGATGTGCCAGACGATGTCGTAGTAGGAGCTGCCTGGGCATTATCGGTATAAAGGGCGCTAGACGCATAGGTGCGGCAGTTGGAGGATGCAGGGACCGTCGGAGTGTAGGGTGGATCGATGACACCGGACCACGGTTGAGTCCAGGTTGTGGTCACCCCGTTGCTAACATACTGGCCAACGGGTGACATCGGATCGGCGTCACAGACCTCGAAAGTGCCGTTTGTAGGCTGGCTGGGGCAATTGTAGTTGATACCGATTTCATCATAAACGTTCTGGCACAGTCCAACATTGTCGGGGCTGGTCACCGAAGGGTTGCAAATCTTGATGCAGAACGTGCCACTTCCAATGAACCTAGACGGACGTCAGATATCATAATCCGAGGCAAACATTACAAGGTACGCACTCGGTCCACTCAGTTATTTGAGTGAGTGAAGCGTTATTTGTGTTACCAGTGGGGTACTGGTTAGACCAGACCAGACCACCTATAGGGTTCCCATACTACGACGCAACAGCCTGATCAGTCTGGAGATTCGGCAATGAAGTTGCACTCACCAGATCCGCGCCGTGGGGGTCGAGCTCTCCTCCCGAGTCATTAGAGAGAAGGTTAAGTTTTGTCTGATCAAGGAAGCCAACAATCATGATATACTGAGACGTGTAGAGATATTGAACACCCTGCAAAGTGCCGGGAGGGATGACGCGAGTTCCATGGCCGTCCTTGGTGCACCAAGCGACCTCATAGGCCTCGGAATCACCGATGGTGTTATTCGGAGTGGGAGAAGACCAAAGGCAGAAATCTGACTGTGATTTAGGGACGGAACCATAAGTAGGTGGGAGGCAGGCACGTACCGTCAATGGTGTTTACGATGGAAACCTGGCACTCCGATTCCTGGTTCGCGGTCGTGGAGTTGCAGATGCTATAACCGGTCTGAGGACCACGGATGTCACCAGCGGTGGGAATAACTTTGTACGGCTGCCGGGGATTGAGACGATGAGGCCAAAGTGAAGAACGCGAACAGGAAAAACGTACGAGATCAGAATAGGCCGAGTAAGTGTGGTCTACGAGCGGGGCTACGGAAGGGTAAGTGGTCTGGGCAAGAATGCCAGAGGCGGCGGCGGCGGCCAGCAGAGCTGAAAGAGCGACTGGGGACATGGTCGGGCGGGGACGAGCAGGGCGCGGGCTGGGGGACGATGGCATACGGGGCGCGAGGGCTATATAGCACGCGCACATGACCGATCTGCAGGCAGCCAGACTTAGTTTGCCCGCCACCGCCTGCGCGTTCATTGGCCAGGTTCGGGCTTGGCACACACACGCGCGCGTGGTGACGCAGGTCGTCGGGCGTTGGGACCGGGCCTGGCGAGATGGCTTGTCTGAATCAGGCACGCATTCGGCAGCAAGAGACGCACATCTGCAACAGACCGGACTTGGAATCAACATACTATACAGCAATGCAACGCACTCATCCGAGATTCGACAGTAATGGTGTCCACATGAGGTTACAACGTTCGCTTCGTCTCTATCTTCTCCGTCCTCCCTGCCCACTTGCGGCAGAACAAAACGGCCCCCGCTCGACTCCTGCATGTTCTGGCGTGTCCGCCTCTATCCCGAGGTCTTCTCCAAGATCTTCGGCTTCCTGTGGCGGAAGTGCGTCTGTAGCGAGCTGCCAGAAACTACTCCAATAGGTTCCGTCAGCGTTGTCTCCGACCGGCATCATCCCCGGCTGCGACATCCTGGGGTGACATACGTCGTAAAAATCTTCCTCCTGCGAACCCATTCTGCTCGCCATTTTGCCCAATCCGCATCCAATTGAGCAAGCTCGCTGGCAGACACGAGCGTTGTCCCAGATCGGAGGGGCTGTAGTCGCTCTCGAGCTTTTTTAGTCTGACGTTCGGTAGGCGGTTGTCAGTTCGAGGCTCACAGTCAGTATGTCGTCATAGCAATAATCTTTTAAACAATTGGCTCAAAGTGTAAGCTCACCGCAACCTCAGCTTCATCCACTGATACTGCGAGCTCCGCATCCGTGGGTGTACCCTTAATCTTGGCCAACTCTGTTCAACCGATAAATATCCGCTAGTACATAACACGTCGATGCATTCACCCGATGCCACCGTTCTGACTTCAGCTGCGAGACTTTTGTTCTCTTCTTCGACGGCCTTGTACTCACTTTCCAGTGCTGCCAGCTTTTCCGCAGGCATGTCCTCCAGATTGGCCTGGTTCGCTACGAAGAAGGTGGTCTTGCCTGTCCACGTAGGGAAATGGCGCATATATGCGCTGAATTCGCAGAATGTACAGGAGAATGTCACAAACCATAGGCCTTCTGCACGAGTTCGCCCTTTTCAGCAAGTGCTACTAGGATTTTCTGCGTCGCGGTCTTTGGTACGGCGCCCTTGAGATTTGCCGCGACATCGACGGCACCAAACGGGCGATTCATCTGGGTGGTATTAGCAGATGCACAAAAACGATCCATGAAAAACTTGCCCGCTTTATGTATTCAAGGATCTTATCCTCCGCTGCTCAAGTCATCAGCGAAATAAATCGTAAACAAGTTGAGGGCAATGTACTTACCTTCCTGGCCCTTCAACACAGACACTTTAGCCTCATTTCCCTTTGTTTTTGCAGACATATCAATATTAGTTCTCAGGGATCTTTGCTCAAATTAGCGGCCTGGAACTCGAAACTGGAACTTGCGTTAGGGACAAGTGAGCTAAACCAAGAGAGTCTCAGCCAGACACGACATCCACGTGGTCGACTGGTCGCAGCACGTGCTATCGGTCCTGCTCCCCGACGCGTCGCCGATGCTCGGGGTTGCGCCTATCATAAGTTACTTTCTACCTTACAGCACCTTACTTAAGTCCGTTCTAACTACGACCCGTCTGACCTCCACACGCCTCTGGTCTCTTGCTGCCACCGCTATACTCAAGGTGTCTCGCTAAGACAAACCCTCCTCAAGTTCGCATGAACGAGAACAGTGTAGGGTCGGATGCGTTCAGATGCTTCACCCAATAAACAGAGCCTGCACTACATCGTTCGCTCGGGCATCGCGGGTGGCGCTGCTGGCTGTGTCGTATGTCCTACCAGATACTATGTGCTCGACCAACTTCTGAAAGGATTCTACAGGCGAAGACAGTCATCGCACCTCTTGACAGAGTCAAGATCCTTATACAGGCATCTAATCCCGACTTCCGGAAGTATGCGGGTAGGTTGTAGATTTGACTATGTTACTTTTCGCCGTTTGATATCACACGACCAGGATCTTGGAGCGGCGCGATTCGCGCTGCAGGATACATTTATTCAGAGAATGGCGTGTATGGATTACTGCAGGGCCACTCCGCGACCCTACTCCGCATATTTCCGTACGCGGCCATTAAATACATGGCGTACGATCAGATAGAAAGCGTGAGTGAATCTTTTACGTCCAATATGCTGACTATCTTATATTGTGTTAGCTTCTCATGCCAACACAGGAGTCCCAAACGAATCTACGCCGATTCTCAGCTGGAGCTATTTCAGGTATGTCTCACGTACATTTGGTTCTTTTCTAGAGTTTTCACACCATTGAACCTATAGGAATAATATCTGTATTCTTTACGTATCCCCTTGAATTGACGCGTGTGCGTATGGCGTTCAGGACACGTTCATGTACGCCACAGGGAGCCGCGCTATCAACATATCTACACCGACCCTCATTTTTCCATGTAATGACTGAGATATATCAAGAAGGACCACGCATTCATGGGCTCTCCTCGAGTACTACACCAATCTCCGGGAGCTTGTTTTCCAGTTTTCCTATCCTCAAATTTTATCGTGGGTTCACTGTCACTATCATCGGCATGATACCATATGCTGGTACTGCCTTCCTCACGTGGGGTTCTCTTCGTTCACACTTTATACTCCCATCTATGTCTTCCTCTCTTCGAACTACACAAACTCGCTTCAAGTCGACCCCAGTCGCAGACCTCAGCATCGGTGCCGTCTCGGGCCTTGTTGCCCAGACTGTTTCGTACCCGTTCGAGGTCGTCCGACGTCGCATGCAAGTCGGCGGAGTCACGCGTCCTGATCGCTGGTTGCGCTGCGGAGAGACTGTTCGCGACATATGGGATGTTCGCGGCTGGCGCGGATTTTACGTAGGTCTGAGCATCGGGTATTTGAAGATTGTACCGATGACAGCTGTGAGTTTTGCGGTATGGCAGTGGAGCAAGAAGGTGCTTGGTGTATGAGATTGGATAGTAACTGTTCAAGATGTACGTCTCGTGTTTCATCACTGTGAGTTGTATAAAATCTTGATGGATTCTCGGAATACAGATATGCTACATGCACATGTACTTATATTGATAGTGTATTTTAGACCTAGTTTAGGATGGGTTGTCGTCTTGGATTCCCAGAACTGAGAACGGAATGGCAATACACACGGTCGATGGGGTAGTGGAAAGGGAGCAGATTATCCCGAATAAGACGAAACTTTCACAGGGAAGCTGTCTTTTGTCTTTTGTTACCAAGTCTGAGATCCGAGGACTTAGGAAGATGTACTAATATTCTGTAATTTCTGCTGACTTAACTCACTGTGTGATTTTTTTTCTTCAGATTCTTTTAAATCCCCAATGCGATAAAAGTATGCGTTTATTTTAAGTTGGAGTATTTATGACTCATCCTGATTCTCATTGTCCATCGTAGCCCAACTGCCGAATTGGATGAGTATTCCAAGATGACTTGTAGTAGGGCCGTGAGTCGGCGCCTAGCGCCTTACCATCCAAACATAGGGAGCCGTCAACGTCTTCATCTGCGGATTTGATGTGGATGCGAGGAAAGCCGTACTCATTCCTGCTGACTGTTCATGCAGAACCTCACACGGCTGCTGCGAGAGGACGTCGTCTGACTAGTCCAAGACTGTCGTATTTGTCACTGTGCATCTTGTTCGTGCTCCAATCGCGCAGATATAAGGCTGAAGAGCCGACAGTAGTCATTTCCCATAATGTCGCAGCACAAAGCACTCCTCCTTTCCTCTCCGAAGGGACCTCTCGTTATAGGAACTAACACTGTACCCAATCCAGGCCCGGGAGAACTTCTCATCAAGGTTTATTCTGCTAGTCTCAACCCTGTCGATTGGGGAATCAAAGAATATGACGTGTACGTAAAGGAATATCCCGTCGTTCTCGGTATGGATATGGCAGGCACTGTCGTAGAACTAGGAGAGGGAGTGTCCACATTCAAGAAGGGTGACAGAGTGTACATCTCCGGAGCTCTTATTCTGCAATGTAAGGTGATGGCTGAATATTTGATTTAGTATGACAGAAAGCCCCATTGGTGTGCGCAACAACGGAACTTTCCAGCATTATGCTCTCGCAGTCGCAGAAATAACTAGCAAGGCTTGTCCATTTTTCTGCCACTCGGATCTCACCGCTGGATTGCCGTTTAGCAGATACCTGATTTTATGTCATTTGATGATGCGGCGGCGGTACCTCTCTGTCTTGCCACTGCAGCCATGGGGCTGTTCAACAAAGTCCATGGCATTGGGCTATTCCCCCCCTGGGAAAACGGCGGGCGCGGGCTGTATCATGGAAAACCTTTGGTCGTCGTTGGAGGATCGAGTACAGTCGGACAGTTTGGTATGTTCTTATTGCTTGCTAGTGAGTAGATCCATTGTATACTGATAGGTGAGCAGTAATTCAACTGGCTAAGCTGTCTGGCTTCAGCCCTATCATTGCCACGGCTTCCAAGCACAACACGGAATATCTCATCCGACTTGGAGCGACACATGTAATTGACCGTGACATGACCTCCGACATGATATGCATTGAAATTGCCAATATCACATCCGAACCTATTGAGGTCTCATACGACGCTGCAGGCGATCCCAAGGCGGCAGACCTTGCTTACGATTTGCTTTCCCCCGGCGGTTGCGCAGTGCTTCATTTCCGTGACGAGAAGAAAAATAGGCCAGACAGACGGGCTGCATATGTGTTAGGAAATGCGCATAGGACTGCCAATCGTAACATGGGTATATCTCTCTTCTCAAAACTACCCGCTTTGTTGGAAGAAGGGGCCATCCGTGTGAGTGTCGGTATAGCTTGGAGTTTATCAGAGCTCAATGATGTGATCGTTCTAGCCTAATCGTGTAGAAGTGCTTCCGAACGGGCTAGAAGGCGTTGTTTTTGGTTTAGAGAGGCTGAAGAGAGGCATTAGTAGTCTAAAGTTAATTGCCCATCCGCAGGAGACGGCGTAGATGGCACGAAATTCCAACATTGGTTGCCCGTCGCGTTCACGTAGTTTTTTAAGCCTATCACAGTACAACTCCAGGTGCAGTCATCTTGAGTACTGAGCGACCGAATGCGTCGTCTTGTGGACTTTAAGTTTTGTCCGCTGGGAGATTCCCGATCCGATCATCACGCGCGCCCATCTAGGCTCCAGCCGGGATGTCAAACTGGGTCTATTCACGCGAGCGAGTGCATTTGTTCAACGCGTAAATGCTTTTCTAACACCTTGAATACACACACGGCGTATGCGTTGCACATAATCCAGGTGGTGGGATACTGCCGCCGCTGCTGGTATGCGATCTCTGCTTGTTTATCATAATGCCATTATACTAATTGGTGAACGACTGGAAATGGTCATTCGATTCCAGTCTTATTCTACGAATGAATGGCATAGGATTTCATGGATCAACATGACTTAATCGCAGGTCTCTCCTCTAGTGACGCGTACGACGGCAACGGCGGCACGGCCAATCTCTCCACTGCGTGCGGACCGCGAGTGGGTTAGATGACTGGGTATGTTTCCGTCGCCTACGGACCTGGTGTGGGGAGCGTGCTGAAATCGATTTCGAAGCCACCTCAGGAGTGTGTACCTAACGCAGTTGACATGGCTGACTCAATGTTTGACAGATTTTTGTCGCCCACCCTCATCTGATCCATCCAGCAGTACCTGCTTGGTCATCTCGTATGTCATCCCCACCCATTGTAATCTAGCAGAGGCCATAGATATATAAGCTACCACAAGAGAGCGCTGCCATCCAAAATCCTCTATTATGACATCCCAGCAGAAAGTCCTCTCTCTTCCCGCTGCCAAGGCACCATTCAAAGTCTCGACGGCGCCAATTCCGACGCCAGGACAAGGAAAAGTTCTGATCAAGATCCATGCCGTCGCTCTCAATCCTGCAGACTGGAAGATACAAGCCTTTGACCCTTTCCCCATACAGTACCCGGTGATACTCGGTGTGGACTTAGCAGGCACTGTTGAGGAGCTTGGAGAGGGTGTGACAAACTTAAAGCTAGGTGACCGAATGTGAGTGATCGAGTGTAAACACTGTATCCAATCAGCTGACCAATCAGAACCTAGCATCGCTGAAGCAATCTTTCTTGGTTCAGAATCGAGCTCAGCATTCCAACAATATGCACTCGCCACTGCCAAACTTACAGCAAAGGTTCGTTCATGCACGGAGCTCGTTTGGTGAAGTAGGGCTGAGCACTTCTTTCATAGATCCCCAATTCGCTCTCCTTCGAAGCCGCAGCATCGATTCCCCTTGGTCTGGCGACTGCAGCGGTGGGACTCTACAGTAGGATTGGAGGTGCTGGATTGTTCCCACCATGGGAAGAGGGTGGGCGCGGTCTTTACCGCGGAAAGCCATTCATGGTATTCGGAGGAGCCAGTTCAGTTGGCCAATTTGGTATGTGACATTCAATCATAATTTTTGTTACGCTGATTGATCTCCTTCCGACAGCTATCCAGCTGGCCAAGTTGTCAGGATTCGGTCCTATCATCACCACTGCATCTACTCACAATACAGAATGGCTCCTCGGCATCGGCGCGACGTACGTCATCGATCGTAAACATTCTCCGGAAGCTATTCACGCAGAGGTTGCCAAGGCCACCTCGGAGCCCGTTGAGATCATCTACGACGCGATCTCAGAGTCGGAGACGCAGAACAACGCATACGATGTCCTCGCGCTCGGAGGGTGCCTTGTGGTTGACGGCCGTCCGGCAATAGACGAGGCAAAACAGACTGGTGACAAGACCATCGTGCACGTATTCGGGGATATAAATGTGCCCAGGAATCACGTCCTGGGCGTCGGTTTGATGTCCAAACTAACCACTTTTCTTGAGGAGGGCACGATCAAAGTCGGTATTCATTCAATTTTGTCGTGGGGCTGCATGAGTCTGATACCCCTGACTTTTTGTAGCCAAACCGCATAGAAGTGTTACCAAACGGACTAGAGGGCATAATTGGCGGCCTCGAGAAACTGAGCAAGGGCGTAAGCAACTTGAAATTGATCGCGCGCCCACAGGACACAGACTGACAGTGGATGCGACCCATATTTTAGACACTGAGTCCGCGTATTAGTCTATTCTTGTGCAATCAATTGATTACTTTTCAAGTCTGCGTGAAGCTTGCGAATTGAAGTCATTCAGATCAGACTGCCTCATGAGAAAACGTGGGCCAGTGCCCCGCGTTGATACCCAAATCAGTCCATTTACGAAGAAAAACCTGAAAGGCTTCTTATCTCACGATGAGCCGAACAAACTTTACAAGAAATCACCTTAACATGACGGGAGGAATGGCACTACCTGTACGATATCCGTTGGCAGGTGACCCATAGGCTGATGACATGTTGGACGGTCATGCTTCTCATCGTATGATATCAAGTGCAGCATCTTGACCCGTCCACGCCCACTAACTAACATGCAAACTGCTCTCCTCTTGCCTTGCAAACAAGGCTCCTTCGCACTCGGTACAATAAACATACCTAGACCTGGACCCGGACAGATTCTGATCAAAATCCATGCGGCGGCACTGAATCCGGTTGATTGGAAAATCCAAGTGTATGGCATTCTTGTCGACAAGTATCCAGCAATCCTGGGGAACGACATTGCTGGTACTATTGAGGAACTTGGAGATCATGTGTCAGATTTCAGAAAGGGAGACAGAGTGTGAGATGCAACAGAGGATGTCGGGCAACGACCTACTAATCACCGTTCAAGTATAACGCAGGGTATTATCAATGTGAATGAGCACGGTGGTTTCCAGCATTACGCACTCGGCTTCGCTGACACGTCGGCCATCGTAAGTCGCAATTATTACTCATCTGCTACAGAGCATTCAGGATGGCGAAGATCCCAGATAATATCTCCATGGAGGAAGCAGCGACAATACCTCTTGCACTTGCCACAGCGGCCACAGGACTATTCAACCCGAAGTTTAGGAGCGCCAGCGCCGGATTATATCCCCCATGGGAAGATGGAGGTCGTGGACGATACAAGGGAAAACCATTCCTCGTATTTGGTGGGGCGACCTCGGTCGGCCAGTATGGCGAGTGCTTTCACATGCGAGAGTATCAGCACATAATGAATTCGAATCACAGTGATACAACTGGCGTACCTGGCAGGCTTTTATCCTATCATTGCCACTGCCTCTCCGCACAATGCTGACTACCTCCTCGACCTGGGGGCCACAAATATCGTTGACCGGAGCCTCTCTGCAAGTGCTACGCGCGCGCAAATCGCCAGGATAACCTCGAATCCGATTGCAACCATATATGACGCAGTGTCAATTCCAGGGACGCAGAACTTGGCATACGACATGCTGGCTGGGGGTGGCTGCCTAGTGTTGGTGCAAGCAGATGTGATTGATGGGAAGAAGAAGACTTCTGGGAAACGAGTGGTGGTAGCGTTCGGAAGCACACATGAACCGGAGGCAAATCGGGCTCTAGGGGTCGACCTCTATAGCACCCTGACCAAACTCCTCAGGGACGGCGAGATCTTGGTAAGTCAAATGCAAACAGCCAGACGGCGATGCTAATCTTCTCCAGCCAAACCGAGTGGAAGTGCTGCCCAATGGACTGTTCGGGATCATCGACGGGTTGAAACGACTGAGGAATGGAGTTAGTAACGTCAAGCTAGTTGCACGCCCTTGAGCTAGGATGATTGTAGACACGCACAGCTTGTATTTTTTGATGGTATTAGTTGATGTGAGGAGAGCGTATCGAACGGTTCCGAGCTGGGAGCGGAATTCGAGCAAAACATAAATCAACGGTGTCTCGACATGTGATGTCCAACTGCCGATGATTCCAGTGTTGGATGTTGTCTTTGTCGATGCTGCACCTACATAGGTTTTCCCAGGTTGGCTGTGACTCTGTGCTCGCCACCGCCAGTGGCGCGCACTATGGCACATCTGCCAGTGACTCACCACTGCCTTTCCATCAGTTCTCAATCGTCTCCCATGTTAGCGCAATAGTCTCATGTCTGGAGTCAAGCTCACAAAGGATCGTCCTCATCTAACCAATCTAGAACGTTTCCTCGGCATGTTGTGTTTGGATCGTCAGCGTCCTAAAATTCGCTGGGGAGACGCCGTCGCTGAACGTGTTTTCCTTTCATCGGGTCATATGTTCATCTCAGCAAATCCACTCGATCGTTCAGAAATCCCGGGCTTCGCATTGGGATTGACTGATAAACAGTGGCGTCGTAGATAATTCAGCTATGGGTGCGCAAGAATCCGTCACATATGTTCCTGGACTTCCACGGTCAGCCAGTGATGAGGATCGAGCACAGTTGCGTAAGAAGGTTCGTCTTCTCTTTTATTTCACTATCCAACTGACTAAAAATCAAATGTTCTGAACTTAGATACCTGCGCCTACGTTCCCCCGCTTGAAGTGTTGTGCGACGCCGCAATGTTCAGTTTCATTGCGGAGCTCTGCATAGGAGGAGAACATGAAGATCTGGCTCTTGCTGTTCTTCGGCGGTCGACCACAAACTGGAGATGCATGTTTAGCTTCTTTTGCACTACGTCTCGGTCCTCGTATACGCAAATAATCAGCACTAGTGGAAATTGCATGCATCGTTTCTAGCTATTCGCTGCTGACCAGCTTGAACTATAGATAATGACATGGGTAGAGGCTGGATTCTTTAACGCGCTTGATGAGGTTCTCACTCGTGTCGGAGAGCACCCCACGATGACTCGTGAGTACCTTATTTGCGCATCTAATCCTTATCCAATTCCCTAAAGGATTTGTAGAACATCTCACACGTATCCTCGCGTCACATATGATCGTGCTGGATAAATCACCATCCGTCATTCCTCTACTTCGGAAGGAATTTCCATATCCTTGTACCGTGCACATTCTCGCCGAGTGAACTTTCTCAAGGACGGGAAGCCTCGTTCATTGTCGCAGTGGACCGCTCCCGGTTACCTACCTATTAACAGTCGCGGCAAGCCTGTATTCACCAACATTCGAAGCGAGATGGCGTTTTCGAGCATGCGAGAGCTCATAGACTAATCCATGCTTTCAGAGACTGGAAGGAACATGGACTGTTTTGCGGGTTTGAGATGCACCATGCAAATGGAGGTGTATCGCGCGTCACTCTGCCGACGTAGTTGACAAATTGAAGGCCCTCGCTGTTTAGTTTTTTACGATTACGGAACGCTCGGGTCGGCGCACTGAATTTAATTTGCCGTGCCGTCTATAATCACCGTTTCCCTACAGTACATCCTTTCTCAATGTTTGATGTTCCATTCTAAGTGGTATGTTCTGCCTGATGATCCTACTGATTGTCATGACCTTCTAGTGGCGGTATCCTACTAAGGGCCACTGTAGTGGCGCATGTCCTCGTCTTCTAGATATGCTCAATGCTTTGTCCGCTTTGGATATGGCCCATATGCATGAACCGCCTCACGGTCATTGCACTAACAGCATAGCCGCCTATTATAACTGTGGCGTCGGCGAGGATGCTTATCGTGCAACTGGCCATATGTGCGCCGGAATTCGTACTTAAGGACCCGCCTGCGTGCGTTTCCCTCCACCCCAATCCTACATCGTCTGCTCTCATTCACAGCTGCCATGAGTCGCTCATCGTATCCCATTTCCACTACGAGCGCGGCGACACTCGTGCCATCCGAATATCACTATGAAAGCTCCCTCTATTCATCATTCTCAGATTCGCCATACTGCGCCCTTCCCAAGTATCCCTTACCGTCTCATAGCAAGTTTGACACCAGCGGCACTGCTACTTTAGTATCGATTCCTATTGTGGTGTCACCCTCTCATCCGTCATCATTCGCCCAGAAAATGGCCGATTATCGCAAACGCATTCGAGAGCAAGCAGGGGAAGTTCTACGAACCTCGCTAGCGCTATTGTCTATGCTCGTCCTATCCGCCATCGTCGGGTTGTTATGGTCTATGTGCTGCACTTGGGCCGGATGCTACGTATTCCACCAGCAGGAACCTTACAAGAGCGTCAACCTGTCTACACTCTCCGCAACTAGCGCTCCGGGCGGGGCTATCATCTGCACAGGAGGGAGCGTACTGCTTGCCTGTCTATTAAGCAGAGCATCGAAAAGATGGGATCCAGCGGCGGTATGCGGAGTGGCTGTTGTATTCCTCGCCACAGGGTTCTTTGGGCAGGCGTTAGGAGTATGCCTCCTCAGAGGCAAGATACACGGAGGATTGGATGTGATCCATGCACTCCAATCGAGTGCGGTCGGCCAAGCAGTCTGTATCCTTGGTCTCTTGGCTGGCGCGGGTTCTCATAAAACATACAACTCCAATCTGTAACATTGAGGGACTGGATGAATTATGCCACATGTTGACGAAGTTATGCTACCGTTTGTCTATGTATATGTAAAAGAATAGTTGGGAAATAAATGAAAGCTCTATGATGGAACGCTGTCCCTTTGAGTGCCATGGTGTACGGCCGAGCGCTGCAGGTGACTGTCTGTGTGTTGTGCAATCGCAGGTCTAACCCATCACTGGCATCAATTGAACTTGGAAATTCGCTCTATACCCAGACGAACTCCGCCTCCAAGTTCTTGTGCTCAAGGTGCGCGGTCCAAGCACTTCAATTCCAGCACACATAGTACGTTGGTAACTACTCGATTTCTCGTTAGGAAATGACACCCAAACAATGAGGCTTACAAAATATCATCTTGACCACGATCGGATGCGGTACCATAGCAGATACGAGGACGTGAATTCGTAGTCTGACAAAGACGACGCCGGCACTTTCAAGCAGACGATAGCACTGCACATTATTGTCCGTTCGAGTCCCAGAATAGAGTTTCTCGGGTGTAAATTTAGAGGTTGTGGCGTCAGAGGGCCCTTGCGCTGCGCACGCAGTGCCACCGGTAAGACGACAAGGCAAGTTCTCGACGTCTGTTTAATAACAGTCTCACAGGATGGTTTGTGCACCGCAAGGCTGCCACAACACACTCCTTTAAGAAGCATGCGCTCCCAGTCTTTATCTTCACACAATCGCAATACTCACCATTCTTATCCCAACCGACAGAATGCCTTCTCTTCTACCTCCATTGTTATGAGCGTCTCAGCTCGAATTCAGACGAGCTCACCGTACCACTTCTCCAAAATGCTTCCCATATCTCGCTTCCTCCATCGCCACAGTTGTCGACCCGAACACTAACAGAGAGCTGACCTGCTCTGCAGCATGGTGGAGCTCCCGAGTACTCGTGCCGGGCCAGCCGAGCACAGAGGCGAAGTGCAGAACAGATTCAAGGGGAAGATAAATATTTACGCTTATACAAGGTGCTTATATTTGCTGTGTTAGGCGGATATTCGGAGGTGTTGTGGTCTTTGGCATGCGCGATCATGGGAATGGCCCTGCTCGCGGGTATGAAGACCGAGCCCTATGTATCTTCCTGTCTTCACGCTCTTCGCATCGAGCATCATTGGTGGAATCCTCCTGAGCATGGCAGACGGCCTAATTTACCTTGCTTTCCCCTTCATCACTCGGCCTACCTTTAATGCCTTGAAGAAAATGGGTAGGGCGGGCAGCACGGACAGCACTGTGAACGTCGAACTGCAAGAAGGATTCGTTCAAGCATGCCAGAACATCCTTGCAGGCACCCTAAGCATTAGGCTTGAGATATTCGGGCAATGTTTAGGAGTGGCAATTATGCGTGGGAAGGCCGGCTCGTTACCACCAATTGATGGACTGAGGTCGAGTGCTTTAGGAGAAGGCATATGGGCAGGACTTGTCGCGTTATTGTTCTTCGTCATCATTCTCCACGAGTCGGACAAATATTTGACTTGTTGCTGTCCTTGCACTTTAATGTTCTGTAGTGATGACGACGATGTGTGAAGTACTCTGTTATATGACACCTAAATTGAAAGTGATCCTAGCATTGCAACTCCAAACCTCGATCGAAGGGCAGAAATATCTTAGCGTAAATCCACGCCTTTCCAAGCTGACCTTTCGGTAATGGCAGTCAATATCCAAACTGGGCTGCTCAATTGCGTTCGTTCGTCGCTCGCTCGCTAACTGAGATACCTGATGTAGCAAGGATGTCTACCGCCGCTTCACTTCCTTTGCCTGAGACTCTTTCCAATTTGGGGCGTAAGCAAACGAGCGAGCGACGAACGAACGGAATTGAGCAGCTTTACTTATGATGGCCACACTCACCAAATAATCCACTGGCACGAGCGAATGTGTTCCATGCGCAGCTGCAGACCAGTAGATACCAGCGACTTGGCCGAACTCTGGGATGTTTTCTTCGTACTGCGGCTGATAGCATTACAAGCAGATCATAGATGGAACTACTCAGTACATAGTACAAACGACCACGGCGTCAAGGCTCTGCCAACGAGCACCCAAATTTGGCAATCGGATGCACATGACGCGCTCGGCCGAGTCGGATAGCTGCGACTGTGCTGCACTGCGGAGGGCTGCTCAACGACTTGCTTTCCACCATGACCACAACGGACACCCAGACATTCACTCATACCTCATCATCGACTCTACCGGAAGAATATGTTCAGGAGGCATTTCATTCTTTCCTCAAGTCATCCCTCACCCAAGCCAAGATTGAAGGTCTACTCCCAGCAAACGTTCTGTCTAGCGCGGAGGGGGACTTAATGATTGCTGGTCTGTTCAAATTTATCTGAATACGAAAAAGCTCTGATATCCTTTGTAGGGCCAGCACTATGTCTCTATTTTGCTGCTCTGCGTTCGGTGACGGAGCCGCCATCGGTCCCCCTTCCTCGTCAGTCGAAGAGCTCGCGATCGCGCGACTCTTTCAGTCTATCCGAGGATAACTGTCCCCCGTCGTTCCGCTCTTTCTGGCGTGTGTGGTCTCAGTCCGTCCCAGAGATTCAAGCTCTTATCCCGGAGCACCAACACGACCTAGCTCGTATAATCTGTGGTCTCCCCCCCATTTCCAGCCCCATCAATCGTCGCGTAAATGGAATTGCGGCTGATATCCGAGCAGTAGCGATCGAGATCAGCATGCGTCGTACATTCCAAGACCGATATGCGGGCGACTTGCAAGCGGCGTTGGATGCCGGATCGAGCGGACGCAAGAAGTTCAAGGCGAGCTTCATTCCGCCTCCAGTATACGACGCATCGCAGTCTCCTGTACCATCACCCTCTCCTTCCTCATCCACATTCAGCCCCATCCCTCCTTCACCTCATTCACCTACTCCCACTATTCTCGCGCCGGATTCACCCGCTATAGAGTTTATTCGTGAGACGCTATACGCAGCGCTAGCGGAGGTTATTGAACGCCGGTCCGCCCTTCGACGCTATCTGCACGTTGACCCACCCAGGGCTTACTTTGCTGCAGTAGCATTCGCTGTCCTAGACGTCGCCACAAGTTCCATGACCCATCGCCAGACACATACGAAGGCGCTCGTAGATATTCTTCCGAGCGAACATGGGGAGGAAGCTACAATACAGGGCGTTCTAGGGAAGACACTTACACTCTCGCAATGTCCGCCCGAACTACGGCCATTTATGGCCGAGTTGTGCTCGATTGGACAGGCTGCTCGCGAGATGGAGGAGGAGGACTCGCTCGCGACAGTTCACGCACTTGAACAAGGCGAGGATCCGCCTGCGCCCCGCCTTGATCGTGTTCATGAGATTTTGCAGGGAGGTGTGGGTTCCACATTCAGTGATGGCGGTTCTCATCGATCGAGATCGTCGAGGAACTCGACCACTGGACATCGTTCTCCGGAGTCCCGTCGTCGAACCACGTCGACCGAGAATCGGGCGGTTGCATTTGCGAACAGAATCAACGCCCTTGCTTTGAGCATGACGAAACTTCGCGCATTCAGAGAACGCCAGGAATTGGTATTCAAGGTTCTCGCTGGAATAGGATCGTAGGGGTCCGACTCGTGAGCCGCTCTGTCGTTCACGATGTACGTGTGATTACATCTTTATAATCATGTATGAAGCGTTTGTGTCTTTGTTCAACACTAATCTGTGTATTATGACCTAGTTTGATGTTGTAGCGCATCTAGTTCTATCACTTGTCTATCGTACATCCTACTTATATCATAGTTGTATGTATCTTGCTGTTTCATGCTTTGTTGTCTAGTACTTACACTCAATATCGCGACCGCGCTGAGGCTATATCGGACTGAATAGAAGATGTTATGGACTTGCTATATCGAGGATCACTCAGAACTGGATGCTGACTGAGATCCATTAGGTACTCGCCTTTGAGAAGGAATAGGTGGGACTGGAAAGCTTTGCTTGAATTGGGTGGCACAACCGTGTTACGGTCTGAGCGAACTGCATGACTTAGTACCGAACAGTCTCAGTGACTGATCTAGAGCAGAGACGTACCCGCAAGGATTATGATCTTTGTGGGGTACTTGATGGACAGGTGAGTCGTCTGGGCGGAGAAACTATTGGAATGCCTTCATCTCCTTGTCGCATCATGAACCCACATGTCGACTTGTATTTTCTTCAGCCTCTAAGAAATGTTAAACATTCTTATCAGAGGGATGATCCAGGGCGGTGATTGTTCACTCACGATTTTTGGCAAACCTTGCCACAATAGCGATGCGTACCATTGCTCGTGCAGCCCCTGCGGCCACATGCATGATGAACTACGCATGGCTGCACTAGCTCATATATGATCATGCACCATTGGCGTACCATTTGGTATGTTGCGTAAATGTTAGTGGGCTCGTCTGTTCTTTGAGTCACTGCCTTGCCATACCACACGCGTCACAAGCGTCTCGACCGCGCCATTCCTAGTAGCTGAACTCAGTTTCTGTCCTTCGTGTTGGGAGAGAGAATATATAATGAGATCCTGGGCGAGGGAGTTCCTTCCGGAGTAGTGGCCTTATAGGCGAGAATTTTTGATGCGCCAGTGATGAGCAATTAGCAATACATGCCAGGTCCTCTTGTAAGTGCTCAGAAGGTCGCTCCAGAGAAAGAGGATACAGCATACTCATCACTTCTGTGGATTCCTTGCATCGAGGGAGGGCATCTCGTACTCCTGGCCGTGATATATGACATTGCGCGCAAGGAGCACAGTTTGTGCGAAGCCATGCGTATGAAAGCGAACAAGCCATCCCGGAAGACGCGGGTCCGTCGAAAGGTAGCCATTGAATTAGCATTCTCGCTTTCCGCCACCAAAAAGCTGAGATATGAATCCGGGCAACAAGTTGCCGCCAGGTGTAAGATAAGATGCGAAAGCCGAGAGCAGTTTATTCGTAGATGTTGTGCCCCACAACGCTTTTTGAAGAAATCTAAGTGGTCTGACCTTTCAAAATTCTGGCACATTTGAAAGACATGGGGCCAAAACGGCTATCCTGGTATCAGATTCAATTGTGAACCAGGCAAATAATCGTGTTTGTATGAGATGAGATCATTGGATTTGTTAAGGATCCTGACACGATGCTTTAAAGTGCGTCGTGCTGTAAGTGCGCGACCATATATCATATGAAATGCAGATGTGCCGAAGTACGCGCAACATCATATCAAGTATAAGATTTCGCATCGTTGCATGCGTGTCGGTTGTAGTGACCGAGTACCGTAATTACCGAAGTAGAGCACCTGTAGCACGTGGTGGAATTACGGCGCCGTAGATAAATACAAGATGTACTTACGCGGTCCAGTAATTTTTAGAGGATTACCCAACGCGTAGATGTGGAGGTCCGGAGACACTGAGGCCAATCAGTGTGCAGCGCAAAACAATCATATGGTTATACTACAGAGGGGGGGGGATCTGTACGCAAGTGTCAGAATGGGTCCAGTGTCAGAAGCCAATAGCGTGGTTCAAACTGGGAGATCTTCAGTTTGTACCCCGTGAGTTCGCAATGGCAGGATTTTGCACTTCTGTAATTCTGAACCGAAAGCAAGGATTGCGACATTCATCTCACAGGAAATCTGATCTGATTTTGATACAACCCACAGAAGTCATTATAATCCTCGGCTATTATACAAGTCGATCCGCATTCGTAAACCATCTAGGCAGAATGAGCTCGAAAGATTGGCCGCCATTGTTGGCTCTAACCTCATAGCCACAAAGTAACTTGTGATCCTGCCAATCTCTGAGATAGATCAGCACAAAGCGTCCACGATACATCAGGAGCGCCAACCAACTCACGCCTTTTGACATGCTTTTCCGCAATATCGTGTCTGACATTGGCTACAACGCTGTAAACTGCTGTTCGCGCAGCCTCTCCGTCCGCAATAATTGCGGGGAAAGCATTTTTGCATAATCCTGTCCAAGGCCATGAAAGGTAGATCGTCCCGTAACACGAATCCTTCAGAGCCGGACTCCCCGCCCGGATAATCGAATGAGAAAGGACTAAAGGGCCATTCAGATCGCTGATATCGCGGTTGCTCGCGATTGACCGCAGCATACATCTGGTGTTATGCGCTGTCGATGCATATACGGTGTATGCGAGGAAGAGGTAGTTCCTTCCAGATCAAAGATTTGATCGAAGAACACTTCTCTACTGCCAATGTCAGATAGCCAAAAACGTAGCTTAGAACCTCTACACGACATTTAAATGGACATTCATCAAAGAAGATGGACACACGTACTACAGAGGTCACAATATTTGGGACAACGAGAGAGGGCGTCCTCGAGTGCGTCAAAAAAGTTTGCATTTGTCCACGCGGAGACCAGGGGTAGCAGCTGAGCAGGGCTAGATGCCTGGCGATGATTCATAACCCGACTGGTAAACAATAATATATCCACGCATAGCTGCGGTGATGTAGTACGGAGGAACATTATAAGACCATCCCAGAAACTCATCGATTTGCGGAGGATCTTCAGAAATCGGGGGTCTTCATCTTGGACCGTCTCATAGAGCGCCTCCACAAACGCGAGTGTTTCGGGGATGGCATTTTGCGCCGCGAGATGAGATGCGCATGCAGAAAGCAATCTCTCTGGGCCTGATGCGCCGAGCAGCATACGACGACGAAACCAGGATGGTCACGGATGCGCTTTTCTGTAAGCACACATGTGCGAAATATTCGGCCGCATCAGCTGCTGAAGTAGCCAGGATACCGCGTGTGTATCTGCTTCTCCTGAGGCATGCACGAAGTATCGGGACAGTACAGGAATTGTCAAATCAGTTTCTCTGTCCAGGATTCTACGAGAATCATCAGTCATACACCTTGTTTGAGTCCTTCTGCCAGATGTGGATTACATACTCAGCGAAAGACGGCACGGCATCTGCAACATAAACGAGTAGCCGGGGTATAACAACTTGCACCCTAATATGTTGCTCCCCGTTGTGCTCCAAAGACCTGGCAGGCATATCCCAGACCTGCGATTGACAAGAATGAGCTATATTCCCGTGAACACAAACGAGACATCCTTACGCGTTGTATCAGGTTAGACCAATTTGTCAAGACAGTCGATAATCTTGTGGTGTATGATCGATGAATACGTACCCGTGCAAGAATTCCGCATGGCACAGCACAAAGCGGTCAGCTGAAAGTGGTACGGGGGAGATACCTAGAGAATGGCAGGTAAGAAGCATCAAATGACCGCCAAAATCTTCGTAGACTCACGCTGACATCGTTCAAGATGTGTCTTATGTCTTGCTGACTGGGCGTTGACGAACGCAACTCACTCGTAAAAATGGTGGACGTCAGAGCTCCTTGAATCAGAGCATCCACAACACCATGTTCGACCAAGCCATTCCAACCTGTATCTTGGGCAATAGCGCATTGTATGACAGCATCGAGAGCGACAAATACAGCCTTATACGGACATGCGCATGTGCAGTGTATCTGAGGAACCGTCAGAGAGCACGAAAGAATGAATGGGCGCACATCACGAGTGTCCTTCCACTGGTTAGTGGGGCGCCGAACACTAAGACTTATAGCATTAACAACGCGGGATGGATTCGTGCGACAAAACTTTCTCCATTTAGAGTCCAAGTTTCGAGGTAAGTTGACAATTCCAACATGTTCTACAGTTATATGAGATTGTTGTTGCAGGGTGAGCTGAAGAGTGGCTCGCCACTACTCGCGAAGTAGACAACGTGGGAGGAAAGAAGCTCAAAATAAAGGATGTGCATAAACGTCTTCTGTACCGGTCATGCGCTCCAGTGAAGCCAATAGTCCACGTGGCGGAGTTAACTTAGCCATATGTTGTATCCGACTCGTGGCCGCGAACCTCCCAGGTAATACAGCCTCCTAAGAGTACTTGCAAGCGAACAACGTCGATAACGTTATCATTACAATTCTTGGAAATTTAACACTTCAGAGCTCCATACAACACGCCAAAGCGATTCAGCTCGTGTATCTTCAAGATGATCCTACAAATCGGGCGGGCAGCATAACGAGCATTTGACTGCGGCTGCTTCATCTTGAATCGACATATTCTAGCCTGTGCCCCTGTCAATCACTGAGCAAAATAATTAGTTTGCACAAAATTGCAGATACGTCACGTACGCTCTCTGGCATTCCTTTGCACAAAATCGTATCTTGTGCATGCACTGATGCAAACCATCGTTCGACATATCGCATTCAATAGTTCTCGTCCGCTCTCGTCATGCAACTGAGAAGCATGGGCAACAAACTCGCACGCCACCTCGATTAGAGCTTTACACATGCTGCCATCGACCAGACAGACCCAACTCGGATTGCGGACAGCGAAAGCCTTTCCAAGTGCCAGAAGAACAGGGCCGACATGCTTCGATGAAAACATGTAAGCAAATACGAGTCTAGTGTAGATCCAGCTGGCATCATAGGGCGATAGTATGCTCCTAGCGATCATTGGGGCAAATTTGGCCCAACCTTACACTAACAACGCGTTCCGGGTCTGTACGGCAAACGTGCTTCCATTTGCTGGTATGCTTGCTCCTCTGCACAAGTGCAGACATTCCTGGTCAAGAAAATATGTGTGCCGGTGTGGTGGTTTACCGTCGGATAGGTGAGAGCGACGGCACTGGTAAGAGAACAAAAGTCCAAGGAGTGGTATGGTATGGCTCTAGTCTTTATTTGAGTCTTCGATAACCAAGATACCAAGTTTTTTCGAGACAGGATGCATAGACTGCTGAGTGTGATTTGAACGAAAGGAAAACAAATTGAGAGTGGATGTGTCATGTTCACGCTTATGCACGTGGCGGATTCAGACAGCGCATCTGGCGAGATGCTCTGGGCCGAGTTGCTCATGCGGCATCACCGGCAACAGGACTCGATTTCACCAACGACTCCCTCTATATGTAATTCCACCTATCGGTCAAAACTTCTTGAAGAGACGTAAGATCCGCTGGTTCACAGCTGATGCGGCTTGGAGCTCAAGGTTTTGTAGGCTTCTTTCTCATCGCCTCATTTACCTGGGTAGTATTAATCCTCCAAAATCAACGACAATGTTCCTAAAGGTGCATTTAGCCCAAGCAGTCCTTGGAACCAATGATTTACTCATATATAATGTCAAGACACGCCACAATATCCATATGCAATCCGAATTTCCAAGACTATGTATTTTAGTACATGTTATCATCACGTTAGTACACTCCTATATTCCACCGTTCCTGCGTCTTCATCGCTGCGTCAGCTGTGCGACCTTCAGTACCTCTTCCCTTCTTTACAGCTCACAGCCCCTCCGGGCTGGTATACCACACATCCATGCGGACAAAGCTGTTATACAGTTCTCCCGATGCAAGCAGCGTGTCGCTTCCAGTGCGGCCGATCGTCTCAGGGTGGAGCCATGCCGCGAGCGGCTCGTGGAACTCTAAGAACGCAGCAGCTACAAGCCATGTGAACAACAATGACACAGCATCAGGGAAATGTGACGTACATCCAGGCTCATATCCATCGCCCTTCTCGCCCGACCCACCGTGGATCTTCTTCCGTGCAGTTTTGTCTGGCTGCGAGAAATTGTTCGAGTAAAATTGTACGCCAGACTCTATGCGTGGGCAGATTAGTACTAGCGACACGTGTCGATACGTGGGGAAACGCACGGTTCGAGCTGAAGTTCAGACGGAGCCCGCTCTTGGGACTGGCGAGCTCGACGAGCGACTGCTGATCCTCCAACGCGGGTAGTACGAAATCTGTCTTTGGCTGCAAGTCCCCCGTGGATATGCGGACGGGCGTGGGCGGGGCGATGTTGCGGGGGAAGAGGTAGAACTCGTCTGTGAGTAGCGTCCCGAGATCGTCAACGATGGTGGGCTCATAGAGCTTGGACAGACGCACCATAGCCATTTTCAGGGAACTTCTCGCCGATCTTGCGTGTCTCTTTCTCTACGTGCGCATGATGCGTGCCGGTGACTGGTGCGAGCAATCCAGACGAGTTGGCGTCGGGGCCCAGCTCGAGTGTGTGATCCGCCTAGAGCGTGTGTGGTCGGCGGACAGGATGATCGAAAAAGTTACCACGAACCTTGATTACAAGTGTGTGGTCCTTCACGCTTTGGCCATCCTGCAGCGATGCATCCAGGTTGAATCCCCAGTGCTACCAAGGAGTATAATCAGCATCTGATCACCGGAAGAACGCTGTGTGACTGGAGCGGTACTGACACCGTTGAGCTAGCGCTCAACTGGTGGACTTCAGAGCACTTTGTGGGCTCCGATACCACACGAGCCATGATCCCCAGGCTGTACGCATTGAAGCACCTACCTGTGTCAGATTTACTGCCGTCACAGCACTATCGTCCAGTAGCTTTGCGCGGTAAACGAGGAGAACGCTGCCAAGGTTCCACTCTTTTTTATCCTCGCTAGTCGTGGGAGGGGCTGAGGGCTGCGTGAGTCCGACGAGGACCTCAACCAATAATCGTCCGGGATATCCCTCCTCGCCGTCTTCGGATATGCGACTGAACACGCAAGCGGCGCCGCTGGGCATGCGCGCGCTGATCGTATTGATCTCAGATTGCGAAAATAGCTTGGATGAAAAGAGATCAGGGAGCGGCTCGAACATCTGCAGGTCGAATCCGGTGATGCCTCCATGGAGCGATACGGTGGGGGATTCATTTGAAGCAGCAGTGAGCGAGGCGGTATTCGAAGCACGCGAGATCGTGTGGGTCCCGGCAGGAACACGGTTAGCGTAACGGCCGATGAGAGTGTTCGTATATTTCTGGACAAGATGGCCTGAGGGCGTCTCGGGGCCGATGAGGATATCGTGTGTCTATCCGAGAAGACGATGGATGAGCTGTTCGTGTGAGTGGAACAGCTGGACACACCTTTCCATCGGCTTGGATATAGAGGCGGTGGAGGGTGACACCCATGGGCAAAACCTGAAGAAATCCGGTGTGAGTGAAATGCGTCGGGCATCGCGGTAGTCCATCGGAACAAAGGGCTCTGACGTGCCTCAAGAGCGAGAGAAGGAGTGAAAGAGGGGAGGGTGAGGAGGAGGGGCGTAAATCCCGGATGGTCCACGGTCGTCATTGTCGTGAACTTGGATGGTCGTACAAGGATGCGCTGTCGAGGACGGCGGAGGAGAGAGAAGAAAGAGTGGAGAGAGCTATGAAAATTCATTCCGGGGCGACAAATGACTCTCCTCAGCGCCAGAGGTTATCTTATCTCGATCTCATTCCGTTCCGAGATCGCTCCGAGGATCTCGCCGTCTCGCACCACACCCCGCCACGGGCCGTGAGGGACAATCCGTACGTCATGATCACCATGGTTTCCCCTCTTGCTCACGTGGCAAGATGGCCGAGCGGTCCAAGGCGTGTGACTCAAGCGAAAGCTTGCCTGCTCTTGCGGGTTTTCTCATCTGGGTATCCAGGCGTGGGTTCAAATCCCACTCTTGTCAACTGTTTTACTTGAACAACGCTGGATTCCCGCAGCACCTTTTTGCTCGGCGAGGTATAATACGGGCCATATGTGCTCATTGCTGTCTCCACGCAACCGTTACTGATTTGACTAGCTATCGGCTTTCGCATGTGGAGGTTTTTGGTACCAGACTAATCATATTCAAATAGGATGATGATGCATGATGCGACGTCAGATTCGCCGCCGCAGACGACCATTACGATGCCACTTTCACGGTGGTTCTATAAGCGCACACTTCGACAATTTGATTATGACTTTTCGAGAAGATCGCGGAGAGCCCTTGTGATGAGCTTCATCTGACGTATTTTCCGTAGGCTACATTACCATGGTGCATGCAGCGGTGTATTCAGGCTTCAGGCCTCATAATCATTTTTCCGACAAGGAGCTGAACTGAGAATTAGCCAGGATGGACGTGGAACTCTAGTGTGTTTTTAGCCTCGGTCCAGTCCCCATATCCAAGTGGGCGCGGGAGCGCAGGAAGTTGTAGCGTTTTGTGGTGTAACTTTTTTCATGTCTGAATGACGGTAGGTATACAAACTTGAACAAATCTCAAGATCCAAGAGTACAATACGGGAGCCGCTATATTCTCCAATATTTCTTTGCGTTATTGTGGCCGTGAACCATTGTGGGTTTGTGTATATTTTTCTAGCTCCTTGAGATCCTGATATACTGGCTGGTGTTGTAGGTTTTTTCATGATACCACTTTGCACGTTATTGTGGGTGGGTGAGGAATTACGAGACCTTACTATGCAGCGACAGATGCCTCATATGCGGCTTTCTAGGATACTTTGAAAGACTTGGCCATGTTGGTTCGGGAAGCACATCTTCCAGATGGCCGATAGAAACATATGCGGAAGGAATGATATTCGTCAGGTTCTTTGATCTCCTCGACAGGAAGTAACGTGTGAGGCGCGACAAAATGTTTCCGGTTGAACTTGCAGCCTACATCGCTTCACTTCAGTTGGCCGACTTGCTCGTAACAATGAACTCTTCGTCTCTCTTTCTGCCGGCTCAATTGACATCGGTTTATACAGCCCTGGAGATGAAAACCTTTGACTGGACTATCGTTGTTCCATTGAGTCATACTCATAAATACATGATGCACACTACCAAATCATACGCAGGTTCATGCTGGCGCTATGAGAGAAGGTTAATGATCTCCTTGCATCTCAGAATGCTTGCGCGGTTATTCAGATTGGTGAGTGTTCACTGACATTTGTTATGCCGAATTGAGCGGACCCCTCTGAGTTGTATTCCAGGTAGTTTAGGAAATCGCATAATTAATGACATAGATCACATTTTGAAGAACATTCCAATGTTGAGTCCGCATGAAACAAAACGTTTGACGTGCCGCTTTTGAATCATGTCGGCTGTTCGCACATTCCATGGTTTTGGAATAATCAGCTGTCTAGATGCAAAAAGGCCACAAACTGAAGTGAAGAGCCTCAGCGAGGCCAACGACAATGCTGTTGTGATAGGTCGGGGTAGGCTTCAAGTACATCGCTCTAGATACTCAGCCTGAAGTCTTGTTATTCACATCTCGCAACGCAATGTCTGCAGATGATCTCGTAATTACATGAACTTACTTGAATTCACAGTTATATATTGACGGTAACGTACGTCATCTGCTCCGCCTCGGCATGTATTCCATCCGGTAAAAAGGCGTGACAGATATTTAAAGTAAACATTCGGATTCTTGAAGGATCCATGGCCCATCACAACCAGTGGATCATTGACATTACCCAACCTTTCCACCTCCACCTCTACCTTCCTCGCGTCCGCACAGGAAATTATTCCAACATGATCTAAGACTCGAATGGCCTGCCTAATTCAGACGCGGCAGCTCAAAGCTTCTGGGTCGTCCTCGGCAGGGGGTAAGCATCGGAATATCACTGAGAACACAGTCCAGTTTGTCTAAATCATTGTCTCCCAACCTGCCTATCGGTGGTTTTGAGGTGAGTTCAATCTCGTCAGGAAAAGTGTGGCGCTCACCAACTTCAACAACCACCACGGTCCGTTGAGAATTAACAACATCATCTATTTTTCTTTCATATCCAACGTCCCTGAAAATTTGTAGCGTGCATGACGTGGGTGCGCGTATCATTAAATGGAACCATTATAGCCCAATGAAAGAACCCATCTCCCCACGAGAGGAGATCGATGCTAATTGAGCCTACAGGTAAGGTAGGGGCCATTTACTGCATATAATGAAATAAAATCAGAGGTCTTGAGGCAGGATACATGTATGAATCAATGTGAGGTAGAAAAGATCTATGTATAAGGAAAAATGCGGTATGCGCCTTGGATAAATCAACGATGAAGGAACGGATCGTCACTGGCCGCTAGACTGGAGATGGGTCGCTCTTCATCTCCATCGCGTGACACATCGTTTTCATCACGACAGGATGTCCTTCGACGCTTTGAGGAAGAGGTGGTTGTCCCAAAAGACTCGTCGGCCGTCCGTTTAAGCGAAGTTGTCAGCCCAAATGCTTCCTCTTTGACGTAGTTGTAGTTGCGCTGCAATTGGTCAGGCACTTTATCTATTAACGGCCATTTGGTTTGTTGGAAAAGACGTCGTAGCAGCTCGGCCATGGCAGTGTGGTTTTGTAG